CTAATCTGACAGTGGTGGAGCTGGGTTCAAGTCAAGACAGTCTTACTCCAGAACACACCCCTGACCCAGCAGGCGAGGTGAGTGGGACCCAAGAATGAACAGGCCATCTCTCAAGTTCGTTAAAAGGTGGCACTTACCCCCTAGCACGTGTCTCCATGGGGGTGTTAGGCACATGCCAGGATGACTCCAAATAGGTGGGAGCCGCGGTTTCCTCCAGGAAGCCCCCAGATCCTGCAAGGTGACCCGGGAGAGGGCCGAGGAGAGGTCAGCAGTGGCGCTCCCCCTTCCCACCTGGGATGCCCAGCCCCGTGGCGGGCTGGGAGAGACACGGGAAGTCCAGCCTGTGCGGGAGAGCAGGGCACCTCACTGGGGCCCCCCAGACTCTAGCACAGGCTGGCACGCACCAGGTCTTCAGGAAATGTTGGCTGTGAGCCTGGGGGCGCTCCCGCTTCCACACCCTCTGGGGCCCCAGAAGCCAGGACGGTGGTCGTGAACCCCTCCCACCCCACAGAGACGTGGCAGGGCTGTGGTCACACCCAGGTGTGCCTGTGAGGCTGGTGGTGCCAGAGCCACAGCCTCCCGACCCATCTTCCTGCCCTGGGTCCCGGCCCTCCTCCTCCTGGAAGCCCATCCAGATGAGCCACACCCACACGTGCTGCTTCCACTGCTCAGGGTCCAGGAGGCTCTCAGTGGCCACACACTGTGAGCCCTGCCCCTGGGAGAAGACTGGAGATAGAGACTCGGCCCACCCCTTGGAGTTCCCACTTCTATTCTGTCTCCTCGCTCCCAGTCTTGGACAGAGGTGCTCCCATTTGTCTTACCTGTACCCTCAATTTCTTCCTCCTTTTTCATCCGTTCCACTTTCCCCTCTTCCTCCCGCTCCCCTGTTACCTCCTTCCCCTACTCCTACCTTGTCTGTGAAGGACTGGAAGCCACTGCCACCCTGAGCTCACCTCCTCGGGGGGACCAGAATGGCCGAGTTCTGCTGATGGGGATGCACAGGGCAGCAGAGCCCGGTGTTGCTGGCATTTCTCCGGGCTGAGCACCCCTGCAGGGAGGACCGGGGACAACACCCAGCACCAGCACAGCCCTCCCCCAGGGGGGCCCGGCACTGGAGCCAAGACTCGCTGGTGGGGATGAAGCCAGCCCCCGTGGGCTGGTGCATAAGGAAGCCTGGGGAAGAGGGGAGAGCCCTGGAGTAGGAGTCTGGAGCCTGCATTCCACACTTGCATGGCCCCCAACCACGTCCCCAGGCACAGCAGGCAGCGAGCCAATGCTCGTGGAGGACAGCAGTCCTGGCGGGGCCTCCCCTCAGATGCATCCCCTCACCTCCCTGAGCCTCAGGAGCCTCTGGGGAGGGGTCCCTGCGCCTTCCTCCTTCCTTTCAAGGCAGTGGAGCGGACCGGGTGCAGTAGTGCCCCGCGCTGGAAAACCCCTGCCAGCAGGTGTGTGGGTGACGGTGGCAGCGGGTGGGAAGGGCCAAGCCAGGTCCCAGGCCTGGAAGTGGAAGACGGGCCTCTGGATCTGCCAGGTCTGGGGGGCCTCCGTCCTCCAGGCAGAGCCCGGGGTGGGGGTCAGAGCGCCCAGGCCCCCTTCTCTGCTGGGCCTCTCAGTGCTGGGCCCTCGCAGGCCACAGTGCAGGCAGCCACAGGCGGGTCCTCTGGGCCCTCTCTGGGGGTCGCAGCTTGGCCTTTGGGGAGCTGGTCTAGCCTCAGGCTGAGACCTACGGCAGCCCAGGGCTTACGGGCTGCAGGCCTGGCCGCCCCCCACTGCGGGGACAGCTCGACGCTGGTCGCAGCCCACCTGCTCTGCCACCGGCCCCTCTGGGGCCCTGGACAAGTCACTTCACGACTCCGGGTCTCAGCTTCCCGGTGGTTATAGCGACAACACTCCTCGCCCCACAACGGTGCCATCGGAGTCCCCGGAAGATGAACAGAAAGCTGGCGGGGAGGCACCGGGTGAAGGCGGGCGCCCGCGGCCCCTCCAGCTCTGCGCTCCCCTCCCCCGCCTCGCTTCTGGCCCAGGCGGCCAGATGGTGGGACCTGGAGACGCAGCCTGCTGCACGCTCAGTCTATTTTGAGAAGCCTCCCGTTTCCTTTCCGCCTGGGGCCATGTGGCGGCTGCGGGCCTCTGCTCACAGGATGGGCTTGGAGCCCGACCTCCTCCTTCCACAGGGCCCGGGCCTGTGATCCCCCCATTCCAGCCCCCCACACAGACAGCCCAGCCCCCACCCAGAGGGGCAGAGGCCAGGCGTCCACGGGGCAGGTCACTGGCCTCCCACACGGAGAACGTGGAGGGGGGTTCGGGCCGACCCCGTGTGGCCGTGGCCCCGCCCCTGGCTGGCCCAGGCCTGCCCTCCGAGGGCCCAGCACCCCGTTCTCACAGCGGGGTGGAGGTGGGGCCATCTGTTTTACACGCGGCCTCCACAGCCACCTCGGGGGCCTACCCAGGGACGCACCCAGGAGGATGGTCCAGCCTCAAAGTTAGGCCGCTCCCGGGCCCCTGGCCTGGCCGGTCGAGATGCCAGGCCAGCAGGGGAAGCAGGGGCCCACACCGCCCAGGAGCTACGCTGGCCTCCTCCTCCTCCTCCTCCCTGCCTCCTCTCCGCACAGAGCTCTGACCCCTCCTGCCTGGCTTTGAGTCCCCCCCCCCCTTAATAGATGTGTGACCTTTCACCTCTCCATGCCTCAACTTGCTTATCCGTGGAATGGAGATGAGGAGAGGTCTCCTCCACAGGCCTGCGGGGAAGTGAATTGAGTTGATCCTGGTGGAGCGCCTGGGACAGTGCCTGTCGACAGACTGTCACCCTTGTTCTCTCCCCGGTCCCCACAGTCCACCCCTCTGGTTCTTTGATACGGTTTTTACCTCCTCTGCCGCTGTCCTCGTTCACCTCTGAAAAGGAGAGGAAGAGGGAGAGGGAGGAGAAGAAGAGGAAGAAAAAGAAATCCCATTTGAAACAAGGTGAACCGCCCAGGTGGATGCAGTCAGCCGCGGGGAGGCCCTAAGAGGAGGGGAGCCCGGGACGCCGGGAGGCCGCTGCCCGCTGCCTGGCCTCTGTGGAGTCCGACTCACTCCCCGACAGGTACTTGGGCGCCCCCCCCCGACCCCCCTCCCCACGCTCAGCCATGGGGGGGGTCCCAGCCCCGGGGCTCCTCGGTTGCGGCAGCGCCAGTGGCCCGGGGAGCACGCAGGGATCGACGACGCCCAGGTGCTGGCTCCGACGGCTCAAGCGTGAGGGCAGGTGCTCCCCCCACCCACCCCCAGAGCCCCAGGCACCCTCGGCTCCTCACAACCCCCCACGTTTCGTGCGGGCCTTGGGCCTCGGGCCTGGCCTTAGGGCTCTGGTGGTCTCAGTAGACGCCCCCACCCGCGGCCCCGGCTCTGGGTGTCTGCGCCCCCCTAGGCCAGCCCACATGTCCCTCCCTCCCCAGGCCATGCGCCCTTCTCACCCCTGCCCTCTGCCCCCCTGGTCCCCTCTCCTGGAATTTCTTGCCGCCTCCCCTTTTCCCGACAGCCCGTCCCGTCTCCTCAAGGAGGCCCCATGTCACTGCCAGGTCAGGAACGGCCCCCCAGCCTCCCACCCTGGGCCCGGGCTCTTGCTGCAGCCACCAGTGTCCTCCTTGTCACCCGGGGCGTGTAGCTCCTCGGGCACACCCCCAGGCCACGGTGAAGGGGACGGGGCTGCCCCACAAGCCACGCTGTGCGGGACTGACTCAGCAGATAGAGAGATGGAGGCTGACCGCTGGCCAGGGTGGGCCGGGGGCGGCTTAGGGAGGCCCCCGTGGGGCTGGAGGATGGCCCGGGGTCAACACTCCCCCTGGGGCCTGGGGGTGGCTCAGGGCTCCGGGACAGGGCTTCGCAGCTGTGGGGGTCCGGCCCCGGGGGGCTGCCGCCCTTCTTCCTTGGTCTAGAGTGGGCTGGGCCGTGCCCTAAGTAGCGTCCTTCCTGGCCCTTCGGCTCGTCACAGCTGCCCGCTGCGGCCCTGGCCCCTCCGGAGCGAAGACCAGGCCTATTCCTGTGGCCATGTGCGCTTGGCTGCAGCGTGAACGGCTCTTTGGAAGCCAAGCCTGGTCTCCCCTCGAACGTCCAGCCGTCGGAAGCAGACACTAGCCCCCAGCCGCCCCGCGGGTGAGAAACATCCTGAGCCAGGACACCTGGGAGCCCGCTGGCTCGGTGGCAGCGTCCCGGCCTCCCGTCCACAGCGAGTCCCGCTCCCGCCCAGGATCCTGGGGAAGCACTGACTCTCAAGGCCAGCGGTCCCCAGAGGAGACTTTGGGGCCTGCGGGGCCTCCCGTGCTGCTGCGCCGACGGGGCGGGCACCCCAGGGCGGCCACAGGGTCCGGGTGGGGGGCGCCCTGCATCCTGCACAGCCTCCAAGGCCCCGCTGTCTGTGCCGGGGCGCGGTGCCCCCACACCTGAGCGCGCACAGCCTGACGGCGCCCACGCCGGGCTCCACCTGGGCTCCAGGTGGGGAGGGTGGGCGGCTGTCGTCCCCGTTCCTACGGGGGCTACACGGAGAACAGCCATCGGGGGGGGACACCGGTCTGTGAGCATTTGAGCCTCGACTGTGGTTCCCTTTGGCGTCTAAACGCAAACTAGTTTCCACATTTTTATGTTCACAAAAATTCTCTGGATTGCGACTGCCGTTTGGATTAATGTGTTTCGTTCCCTTGGGAACTTTACCGGGAGTTTTTCAGCCTCAGAAAACGGTGTCCCCTGGCGCTGCCCCTGAACTGGGCGGCACCCGGGTCTGCAGCTCTCCACTCGCTGCCCCGCTGCTCCCTCGGCCGCGGCTGACGCCCAGACCCTGCGGAGTCTTAAAGTCCCCAAGACCTTAGTGCGGAGATGCTTCCCTTTGCTTCTCCTGTTATCAGAGGAGATATTAGGGCGGGGGCCTGTGCTTCCAGTCGGTCGGTGGCTAATTTCTTGTTTCAAGAATTTCGCCTCGGGAGGGGAAGGGGGCGCGGACACGTGTGTGACAGAAGGGGGCCCTGCACGCGCTAGGTGCAGCTCTCACCCCGGGGGGGAGGGCAGGGAGGCAGGGAGGCTCGGGCCTCCCCCCAGCTGGGCACTGCCTCCCCAGGAGCCCGCCGCGTGCTGGGCACCGAGCCAGGCATCGTGGACGCGGAGACGGCGCCCTTGGGCCCATTGCTTCCCAGGAAGGTGGGTGCCCGGCCCACACTTGGCGGGTGGGGCCGGGGCCCCGGGAAGCCCTTCGGGCTCGGGCTCCACACGCAGGGCACCTCCGCACTGAAAAAGGGTGCATCAGGAGACGGTGGTTGTCGCCAAGCAGTCGGCGATCCATGCGTGCTGGGGACGTGCACGGCCCGGGGCCGCAGAACTGATAGCGCCTGCCTCCGGGAGCGCACCTGCCGGGGAGGAGCTGCCACGCGCATGAGCAGCCAGGCGTGGAGCACGGGAGCCGGGAGCCAGGAAGCCCGGCCTGGCCCGGGGGGCCGCAGGGACCCAGAGCTCCCACCCGGAGGCCACACGTCCAGCTGTCGGAAGCTGCGTCCGTGGGAGGGCGCTGGGCACCTGCAGCCGCAGGGGGAGCGGCAGCCAGATCCGGGCGCGGTGCCCCTGCCGAGTCGGAGGAGCTTGGTGCTCAGCCCCAGCGTCCCTCCCGCCCCCGGCCCGCAGAGGCCACGGCCCAGCCCTTGGAGATCGGGGCCTTGCGGAGGCTCAGGGTAGCCCGAGATCGTCACCCTAACACGCTGTGACCCCGACCTGGGGGTGGGTGGGGAGCGTGAGCTCGGACACGGCGTGAGGACGGGGGAGCAGAGCCGAGGCCCCGGCGCTGAGGCAGGGTCACAGCCCCCGCGGCTGCCGGGCTTGGGGCCTGCAGCACGGGGTGGGCCTGTCCGTTTGCGTCGTGCCCCCCCCCCGTCCACGGGAGCCCGGGGAGACACGCGGACTGCGGGGCCATCGTGAGAGGTGCTGCCAGGGTGGCACCTGCTGGGGAGCCCGCGTTGGTGCCCCTCCCGGCCCACGCCCTGGGCCTGCAGAAATCCTCGGCGGCCGTGGTCCTGTGAGGCCGGGCAGGAATCGAGAGTCGGGGTGCAGTTTGAGGCTCCCCCAGCAGCGAGCCAGCAGGCGGGAGCCCCCCGACCCGCGGACAACCCATCCCGTGGTCCGGAGCCCGTGGGCCGTGTGGAAGGGTCAGGCGCGGCTTTGTTCTTCCCCGAGGGGTAGGGCCCAGCCGCTGACTCGGAGGCCCCGGGGCGCTGGCAGTGGTGCCCTGCGGTCCCCTGGCCTCGCCTCGCTGCAGCAGAGCGCCTGCCTCCTCCAGCACCTTGGGGAGCCCGGCAGGGGGGCAGCACGGGAGCGTGGGTGCTGGGTCAGCCGCCCGGGACTCCCGCTGCCCCTCGGTCACCAGACCGCCAGCATAGCGCAAACCCTCGCTCGAACCCCAGCTCCGCAGCTTCCTGTTTGGTGCCTCAGGCTCCGCATCTGGGGAGGGGTCGGCCCTCAGAGCCCAGCGCCCCGGGGACGGTGACCACGGGGGACACCAGGGGAGACTCAGTTGACGTGGTTCAGCTGCTGAAGTGTGAGCCTCGCCACAGTCTTTCCTCCCGTCTTTGACCCTGGAAACAAACACCCCGGGCCCGTGTCACCCACCGGGAGGCCGAGGCGGAGGGGTCAGGGAAACAGGCCAGACAGGAAGCCGGCGGTGAGGTGGGGGCGCCCCCCCCCCGGCCTGCCCGCGCCCTGGCCCGCAGACCCCACAGCCGGGACGGCGGCCACTGGTGCGTCAGGGGCGCTGGGCCGCAGGGCTGTACCCGCCAGGAGCGCTCAGTCTTGGGGGGGGACAGACGCGGAAACACACCTCGTCCCAGGCGGTGCGTGAACCAGCAACCACTCGGCAGCAGCAGAACCGATGGATCCCACTCGGTGTTCAGGCGGAACACGGCCATGCGGAGAGCGGCGCGGGCGTCCAGGCGCGAGCAAGGCGCTGGCTCTGGGGGGCGGCTGCCGCCAGGTCCCCCGCGGTCCCCTCGGGTTGCATCCAGGCTTCTGCGGGTGGAGAACAGCAACAGGATCCCAGCTTAAAAAAAAAAAAAAGGAAAAAGAGAAATTTCAAAATTATGAAAATGGGGAAACGTTAGGACAAGATTTGGGGGTAGGACAGCGTGGAAGGGCCTGGAAGTCGCGCCTCTCCTGCAGGTGACCAGGTTGCCGTCCGTGGGGTGGAGAGCCACTGCCCGCCCCTGCATTCTCTCAACACAGTGGGGATCCCGCCGGGCCCCTCTCCCCCCGCCACGGGGAAGGGCTGTGGAGGCTCAGAGGCCCCCCGGGGCTCCCGGTGACGGCCTCCGGCCTCCGGGGACAGTGTGCATGCTCATGGGGACGGGAGGGCAGGTGGCGGGCAGGGCAGGGCAGGGCAGGGCTTGGCAGCGGCCGCCTTTGCAGTTCTTCCAGCTGCAGGCAGGGACACGGCAGCGCCTCCGGCTGGGGCCACTGGGAGTGCGTGGGGTTGGCCTCGTGCTGCTCCGGGCCTGGAGGGACCTGACCACTCCCTACTCCTGCAGCCTCCCCGCCCCCGAGTCCACCTGGGGCACCAGCTGGGGCACAGAGGACCCCGGGACTCACCCGCCTGATGGAGGAGGCCGCAGCCCGGGGGGGTTGGGGGGCAAAGCTTCCGCCATGAGGGTCTGTGGCTTCCGCGCATAAAGAGTCCTGACCCAGGAGGGCCAGACGCGTCCCATGACCTGCGCGGGGCTCCACGGCCCCTTCCCGCCACACCGCGCCTTGGGAACCACCAGAGAGCCTCAAGGCCTGGGCTGGCCGGGGGCATCGCAGGCTCGGCACCCCCTTCCCGGGCCCACCTGGCTTCTGGAGAAGGGCGTTTGGGCGCCTGCTTTCCTCGGGGCTGAGCGCTGTGTGGGGTCGGGGAGCTACTCAGCGTCCCTGAGCCTCGGAACCCTCACCCACAGCGACTTCCGCGTGCAGATCCATGAGGTGGTTGGACGCGGCGGCCGCCCTGGCCCTGCTCGGGGCCCCGGGGTCCGGGTGGCGCCCAGGGAGGGCGGCCCTGCGGGGAAGGGGCCCCCAGGCGCGGAGGCCGCAGCTGCGCTGCTGGGGTCTTGCTGCCGGAGCTCGGTGGGTGGACGCGGGTGAGACCTTCGGGTTCGTCTGATCTCTCGTGACAGACGTTCTTGAATGCAAAGCGTTACTATGTTTTGCAGGAAGTAACTCAATTACTAGAAACTTGTTTTTTGTTTTTTTTTTTGCTGTTGTTGTTGTTTTAATTTTTAAAGTGATCTCCACGCACAGTGGGGCTTGAACTCACAACCCCCAGATAAGGGGCTGGCCACCCCATGGGCTGAGCCAGGTGCCCCCACGGAGCCTGTTTTTAAAAGGAGTGAGAGGGGTTCCCCGGGGGCCCAGCAGTGGAGCATCTGCCTGTGGCCCAGGGCTTGACCCCGGGGTCCCTGGATCGAGTCCCACGTAGGGCTCCCGGCATGGAGCCTGCTTCTCCCTCTGCCTGTGTCTCTGCCTCTCTCTGTGTGTCTCTCATGGATAAATAAAACAATAAATAAATAAATAAATTAATTAATTAATTAATTAAATAAACAGAGAGAGAGCGAAGCACAGCCCCCGTGGCCCAGGGTCCAGTGGCGGCGGCCGCAGGCTCTCCTCAGGCCCCTGGGGTCCCGACCCACCCTCCCGGGTGCCCACACGCGGAGCCAGGCCGCGAGTCCCCAGGGGCCCAGACACAGTGGCTGCCTGTGGGTTGTGCCAGGTCCTGCTGGGGCAGCTGCTCCTGGCCAGGACGGGGCCACCCATGGAAGAGCGTCTGGCCGTGGCAGCAGCGGGGAGGCGCCCCGAGGCCTTGCAGCCGGACAGACAGCAGCGAGGTTCTTGGGGGGCCACAGCAGGCCAAGCGAGGCCGGGCCTCCGTCCTGGGAGCGGCGGCGGTCAGGGTCACAGGGTCCGGGCCCCCTGCACCCTGAGCGAGGTCGGCCTGGCTCCCCGCAGCTCTGAGTCGGGAAAGGAAAACTGAGGCCAGTGGGCTCCTGGGAGTGAGTCGGGGGAAGGAGAGGAGGGTGTCCAGGCAGCCGGAGCACCGAGCCTGGGGGCAGGTCACGGGGGCACAGTTGGGGTCGTCCCGGCGTCTGCCTGCCCAGCTGTCCCCCGGAGCCCCCAGAGCCCCACAGAACCCAGGATCGAGGAGGGGACACACAGTGTCACCGGCCTGCTCTGAAACTGGAGCTCGCCAGGGGTTTCTGAGTGGGCCGAGCCAAGCCGAGGTCGGGCTGCTCCCCACCGAGGCCGCCACGTGCCCCCAACGGCTGCGCCCAGCCCCTTGTCCTGCTCGCAACACCACGGCCCCTGTTTTCCAGGTTAGGGTGACAAGGCCCTGAGAATGTCGGGGTGGCCCGATGCCGCAGGCTGGGAAGACGAGCCCCAGCTGCCCGCCCACCCACCCTGTCCCCCGATGCAGTGAGCAGTGCGGGATTCCGGGACCCCCGGAGCCCCGACACCAGGACCCATGTTTCAGCCCGAACCCTGCTAATTTGCAAGCACCCCCAGGCGGAGAAGCGCGGCGTCCAAGCTCCCCAGCTGGTTACTTGGGGCGGGTGGCTTCTCGGCGGGAGGGGACAGCTGGCTCCCGAGGGCGGACCCCCCCCCACACGCCTGACGGGAGATCTCGCTTGTGGGGGGACGCGGCCCCGAGGGGTGGGCTGCAGGGCCCTCCCTGCCCGCGCCAGCTGCCTGGGGCCTCAGGATTCGCCTCCCCGTCCGTCCCTGCCCCCAGCAGCCCCCGGGAGGCTCATTGTCCCGCGCGGTACCCCTCCCGCGTGGGCCAACGGGCGCCCAGCCCCTGGATGCCTCATTGCCTTGATGGGGGCTGCATGTGCAGCGTCTGTGACCAGTGCCCGTGACGGGGGCTGGCACCCCTGCTTCCCTGTGCCCCCGGACCGCCCCCCGGCCGCCGTCCCAGGCAGTGGTCACCAAAGCTGCAAGAGGCAGGACACCCACTGACCCCATTTCACCCACGGAGACACCAGCGCACAAGGGGCCCGAGGATTTTCCCCAGGGGCCAAACCGCTGTGAAGTCGCAGAAGCTGGATTTGGACCCACGCGTGTCTGACCCTCAGGATCTATGGCACAAGGACCCGGCCCCAGTGCCAGAGCACAGGGGAGGGTGGTCTGCAGGCGCAGGTTGCAGGGTCCCAGCCTGTGCTTGGAACCCGGCCGAGGCCCGGGGCCCCCAGCCCTCCTCCAGCTGCCCGAGGCCCCGGCCCTCCTGTGGGCCGACTGTTTGCTGCTGGATCCCGGACCTGGACCTGGCTCAGGACGGTTGGCTGCACAGTGGGACCTGCTGGCCTCCTGGGGGACAGCAGCACGGGCGGCCCAGGCTCCCCCGTGGGGCAGAGGGGCTGCCCTGGATGCGGCCGGGCCCCCAGCTCCAGGTGCCAGCTGGCGCGGCTCCTTGGAGTGGCCAAGAGACGGGACGCTGGCGTCGCAGCCCCTCGGGGACGAGTGACCCAACTGGAGAAGGCGCTGGGTGAGGGGAGGGCCGGAGGACACCATGCACGAGCCCCGAGGGCTGAGGGAGTGACAGCTCGCTGGGTGCTCTTCGGGGTGTCGCTAGTGGTCTCCTCCCCCCGAGGCTGGGGACTTGGCTGACCTTGGCCCCCAGCTGCCCCGGTGCTGGCGGGCCTGGCGCATGTTCTAGCCAAGCGGAGCTCAGGGCAGCCGCTGACCTACCCTCCAGGCCCGAAATAGAGACGGAGCGGACGCGGAGCAAGCTCTGCGGGGTGATTTTGCCCATACAAGGCCTCGCTGGGGCCACCCGCAGCCCCTTGGGGCAGGGCCGGGGGCGGGCTGCCCGGGACACCACAGGCTCCGTCGCCCTCAGATGGATGACTCTCCGGGGGCTGAGCTTTCTTGGAAGCCCGCTTAAGGGAAGAGGCCCCAGCTCCAGGCCCCACGCCCGTCAGACCTGCCAGAGCCGGCGGGGGGTGTGCCTGGGTCCCGGAGTCCCAGGTGCCGCCGCTTCTGGGGAGCATGTGGGCAAAGCCTCGGCTTTGGGGACCCCTCCGAGGGGTGCCAGGGGGCTCAGCTGGTTTCAGCGCCGGTTGTGATCCCAGGGTCGTGGGGTGAACCCCGCGTCGGGCTCCCGTGTCCCTCTCCCCCTGAGCCTCCCCTGTGCTCGCTCTCTCTAATAACTAAAATCTTAAAAATAAAGATTTTAAAAGATCCCTCTAGAAATAGACTTCGAGGTGGCTGCCCAGTCACGGGTCACTTGGGCCCTCTTGGTCCTGCGAGGAGGCGGGTCCCCACCCTGTGTCCCTGGCATCACAGGGACAAGACCCTGGAGGCCGGCCAAGAAGAGGCAGCTAGGTTGGGGGGCACCTGCTTGAGCTCCGGTCACCCAAGGGCTGTCAGGGAGTGGGCCCGGCGAGCGGAGGGGTCGGCGTCGGGGTCAGCGTCGGGGGGCCTGCACACCCCGGGGATGAGCCTGTCCCGGGGTGAGCAGGGCTGTCCCGGCCTCAACCTGTTGCTCTGTTGAAGGAGGGTTTGTGGACCTGGGCTCAGGGTTAGAAGGCGGGCAGGGGGGTTAGGGGGCAGGCGGGGGCCCGGCGCCTGAGTTTAAGGAGCCGCCCCCCATGACTGCATCCACCTGGAGGAGGATCCCCACGGATCCCTGGGTCTCCAAGCCACAGCCGGGTGGTGAGGGACTGGTGGGGGGGGCGCACCAGAGGAGACCGGCGGAAGAGGAAAACACCTGACCAGAAACAGTAAGGCTCAGAGCTTTATTTTTTTTTTAAGATTTTTTATTTATTTATCCATGAGACACAGAGAGAAAGGGAGAGGCAGAGACACAGACAGAGGGAGAAGCAGACTCCCAGCGGGGAGCCTGATGCAGAACTCGATCCCGGGTCCCCAGGATCACACCCCGGGCTGAAGGGGGTGTTAAACCGCTGAGCCACTCAGGAATCCCCAAGGCTCAGGGCTTTAGGAGGCTGTAAGGACGGGAGTGAAGAAGCATCAAGTCATGAGGTTTGGCCCCGTCCTGATGTCAGGGTTGTGGGGTGTGGCCCCGTGGAGCCCACGTCGGTGCCTTGCCGGTGTGGCCGTGCCCGACGTGTGTGTCCTCCCGAGCCGCACTCTGGGAATGCACGGAACCCCGCTCTCTCGTCCCTCTGCCCTCCCTGGTCACCCCGACTTCTCTCTTCCCGGCTGATGCTGGATGTGAGGTGGGAGCCACCCACCCCAGGCGACCCCTCAGCGACGGACACCGCGGGGCACAGGGACCCACAGGTGCACAGGCGCTGCCACAGCGCGGTGGCGTGCGCTAGTCCGCGGGCACTCAGCGCCTCAGGGACCTGTGCGTGCGGGGCTGGGCGACGGCACCCGGAGCGCGTGCACCCAAGGAGCCGGGTATCCACGCTCAGCGCCCTTGTCCCCGGCTCCTGGCAGGACACCTGCGCCCAAGAGCAGCAACAGGAAACGGGCAAAGAGGAGGCAGCACGAGGGGGGCTTCGGGCCCCGGGAAGCCAGGGTCGAGGCGAGAGCCAGAAAGCCCACGCGGGCAAGGGGCCTCCGTCCTCGGCTGCGCGGGACACAAAGGGAACAAAAGGGCCAACGGCGCCCGCCTGTGGGGCCCTCGGGGCTGGTGGGGGGCCCAGGCGGTGTCTGCGGCCCCTGCCGCCCCCCCCCCCGCCTGGACGGCTCCCCAGGCGGCACCTCCAGCCCGCCGGCTGGGCACCGGCTCTGGCACCGGCTCTGGCACCTGCCCTCGTTCAAGCGCCCGCCATGCTCGGGGCTGCGGGCTGCGGGCCAGGGCTGGTCATGGCCAGGGCTGCCTCCTGTCCTGGACCTCCTGGATGTGGCCGCCTGGGCTTTCCCATCGCAGCTCTGGAGGACAGTCACGGCCACGCCACGAGCCCCGGCCTCCACCCCGGACACCCACAGTGCTGTGGCCCGACCCCGGGCCGCGGCGGGTGGCAGACCCTGGCTGGAAGAATGGGTAAGCGAACAGGGCCGCGTCCAGCCTCCGAGGGGCGATTTCCATGCCCGCGGAGCCAGCGTCCCCGCTGCCCCCACACGTGCTGAAGCCGTGTTTTGGGACCTGCCACTTGGAAGGACCTGGCAGCCTGTTCAGAGGCTGCGCGGAGGCGGCGCCCCGGTCAGACGGCGGGGGGGGGGGTGAGGGTGTTCCCTGGGGGTGTCCGGGGGCACTCAGCGCGGGCCCAGCACCTGCCAACACCGGTACTCGCCTTCCCTTTCGAGGAGTCCGGCTCCGTCGCATGGACACGCCACATTTGTTTATCCGGTCATCAGTGTGAGTGGATTGTTTCCAGGCTTGGCTATTAGGAATAAATAATACTGGTTTTTTTTAAAGATTTTATTTATTTGGAGGATCCCTGGGTGGCTCAGCGGTTTAGCGCCTGCCTTTGGTCCGGACGCGATCCTGGAGTCCTGGGATCGAGTCCCACGTCCGGCTCCCGGCATGGAGCCTGCTTCTCCCTCCTCCTGTGTCTCTGCCCCTCTCTCTCTCTCTCTCTCTGATAAACAAATAAATCTTTAAAAAAATATTTTATTTATTTATTAGAGAGAGAGAGAACCAGCTCACGCTGGGGGAGCAGCAGAGGGAGGGGGAGAAGCAGGCTCCATGCAGGGAGTGAGACACAGGACCCCGGCCGGGGTCACCCCCCGAGCTGAAGGGGATGCTCAACCCCTGAGACCACCAGGCGCCCGATCTCCTTTAGTTTCTTTCAGTGATGTTTTGTAGCATTAAACATACAAATTTTTATTTCTTTTGTTAAATTTATTCCTAAGTATTTTATTCTTCTGTCTTGCAGAACAAGTATGGAATTAGTTTTTCAATTTCATTTTTGAATTTGTCCATTGCTAGAGTGTAGAAATACAAGCAATTTTTAGATTTTAATCTTGTATCCTGCACCCCTGTTGAATTCATTCTTTAGCTCTAATTACGTGTGTGCCTGCACGCACCTGCACACCTGTGTTTCCTTAGGATTTTCTACGTATAAGGATTTTCATATCATCTGCAAATAGTTTCCTCTCCCTCCTCCTGGATGCCTTTTATCTTATTTTATTTTTCTTGTTTAATCGTCCTGAACTTCCAGTTCAACACTAAACAGGAATAGTGAAAGCAGATTTTCTTTTCTTGCTTCTGATCTTAGGAGAAGAGCTTTCAGTCTGTCACCATTAAGAATGATGTTAGCTGTTGGGGTGCCTGGCTAGCTGAGTTGGAAAAGCATGGGACTCTTGATCTAGGGTTGTGAGTTCAAGCCCCACGTTGAGTGTAGAGATCACTAAAAAAAAAAGGAAAGAAAAAGATGTTAACTGTAGATTTTTCATAGATACCCTTTATCAGGTTAAAAAAGTTCCCTTCTATTCCTATTGAGTCCTTTTATCATAAAAGGATGTTTGGTTCTATCAAATGCCTTTTCTGATTCTATTAAGATGTTCACATGGTTTTTGTCCTAATTCTATTAACATGGTATATTACAGTGATTGATTTTGGGATGTTAATGCAGCCTTGCATTACTGGTCATGGTGTATAATCCCTTTTATATCTTGCTGGATTCAGTTTGTTAGTATTTTATTTGAAGTTTTTATGTCTATATGTATAAGGGATATCTTTGTAGGTTTTTTTTCTTTTTTTAAGATTAAAAAAAATTTTTTAAGATGCTATTTATTTATTCATGAGAGACACACAGAGAGAGGCAGAGACACAGGCAGAGGGAGAAGCAGGCTCCACGCAGGGAGCCCGATGTGGGACTCGATCCCAGGACCCCGGAATCACGCTCTGAACCAAAGGCAGACACTCAACTACTGAGCCACCCAGGCGTCCCTAGGGTTTTTTTCTTATGCTAATTTTGTCTGATTTTGAATGTTAGGTTAATATTGGCATCATTCTCTGAAGTGTTCCCTTCTTTTCTATTTTTCAGAAGAGTTTGGGTTGATTTTTCTTTAAATGTTTGATATAATTTACCCATGAAGCCATCTGGGCCTGGAGTTTTCTTTGTGGGAGATTTTGATGACTAATTCTTTCTCTTATCATAGGTCTATTCAGATTTTCTATTTCTTCTTGAGTCAATTTTAATAGTTTGCATCTTTCTAGGAATTTGTCTATTTAGTTTAAATCATCGAATTTGTTGGCATACAGTGGTTGGTAATATTCCCTTATAATCCTTTTATTTCTGTAAGGCTAGTATTTCATTTTTTATTATAGTAATTTTAATGTTTTATTTTCTTCTTGGTCAGTCTAGCTAAAGGTTTATCAATTGTTAATTCAGTAAGTATTTATTGGGACCTAGTCTGTGTCAAGCATTATTCTTTGTTTTTCTTTCTTTCCCCCTTCTTTTTTTTTTACATTTTTTCCTTTTAAAAATATTTTTAATTCCAGTATAGTCCACATACAGTATTATATTAAAAGTTATATATAAAAGTATTATATTATATTTGTGTTTTTTCAAAGACTCAATGCTTTGTTTTATTTATTTTCTGTACGATTTTTCTATTTTCTGTTTCATTTAGTTTGCCCTAGTTTTTTTTTTTTTTTTATAAATTAATTTTTATTGGTGTTCAATTTACCAACATACAGAATAACACCCAGTGCTCATCCCGTCAAGTGTCCCCCTCCGTGCCCGTCACCCATTCACCCCTACCCCCCGCCCTCCTCCCCTTCCACCACCCCTAGTTCATTTCCCAGAGTTAGAAGTCTTTATGTTCTGTGTCCCTTTCTGATATCTCCCACACATTTCTTCTCCCTTCCCTTATATTCCCCTTCACTATTATTCATATTCCCCAAATGAGTGAGAACATACACTGTTTGTCCTTCTCCGATTGACTTACTTCACTCAGCATAATACCCTCCAGTTCCATCCACGTTGAAGCAAATGGTGGGTATTTGTTGTTTCTAATTTTGCCCTAGTTTTTATTATTTATTTCCTCCTGCTTGCTTTGGGTTTAGTTCATTCTACTCTTTCTTTCTTTCATTCTTCTTTATTTTTTATTGAGATATATTTGATATGTAACATTATCAGTTTCAGATGCACAACATCATGATTTTATATATGTGTATATCATGAAATAATCACCACGACAAGTCTAGTTAATATCCGTCATCATACAGAGTCACGGATGTTTTTCTGGTGATGGGAAATTTGAAGATCTACCCTCCTAGCAACTTTCAAATACATAATATAGCATCACTACATATATATCTCAACTATAGTCACCATGTGGTACATCATATCCTATGACTTATTTATTCTATAACTAACACTTTTGACCTTTTTGACCTCCTTCACACCCACTTCATACATTTCTTAACTTCTTAAGTTGAAAACGGGTTGAGATCTTTCTTCGTTTTCAATAGAGTTTTTTACAGCTGTCAGTTTCCCTCTAGGCGCTGCTTTAACTGCATCTCACAAGGTTGGTATGTTGTGTTCTGTTTTTACTCAGTTCAAAGCATTTCTCATTTTCCTTGCGTTTTCTTCTTTAATCCATGGGTTGTTTAAGAGTGGGTTGTTTAATTTCCACATATTTTCTTCTGTTGATTTCTGTTTCATTCCATTGTGTTCAGAGAACATAGTTTGTATCACTTCAATCCTTTTAGATTTATTGAGACTTATTTTAGGGCCTAAAGAAGGTCTGTCCCGAGAATGTTCCTTGTGGATAGGGGAGGAATGTGTCTTCCGCTTTTTTGGGTAGAGAGTTCTTTAAATATGTTAGCTCTAGTTGGTTTAAAATGTTGTTCAAATTTTCCATTCCATTGCTGATCACCCATCCAGTTATTAAATGTCCTTATGGAAAGTGGAGTAAACTCAGTATCTGGGCTTCCTTGGGGATAGTGTTGATTGGCTGCTTTTTCCCCCATGTGTTGGCCAGACTTTCCAGTTTCTTGGTGCATCTTGTAATTTTGTTGTTGTTGAAATGTAGACATTTCCAATAATACAGTGTAGCAGCTCAGGAAATCAGAGCCTGACCCAGCCCCGGGGTCTGTTATTGTTGCTGCTTGCTGGACCGTTCTGGGAAATCTGCAGTCTTTAGTACCTGTGGCCCCTGATGCCTCTAGTGTTCGCCTACTGGTCAGCTAGTCATGGGACACAGACTTCCTTAAATGCCAGATCCAGTAAGTATCTCAGACTTTGCCAAGGGGCCTGCATGGGGAAGGCCGGGGGGGTGGGGGGGAGGCGGTGTGAGTGCTCAGTGTCCTGTTTACAGGACAGTTTACAACTTGGCCTTTAGCTTCCACTTCCTTGCACGGAGGCTCAACGTCAGCCAGAGAGAGAGGTGAAGGCCTTCTTAGAACTGTCCCGGGTGTGCTCACAGTCCTGTGCGTGTATGCGGGCTCTAGGCCCCAGGAGGACATTGGCACTTGTCACAGCCCTCTGGACATTCCATTCTTGCATCTACTTTTAAGTTTTGGGCTCCGAATGGGGCTGGGAAAGCCAAAAAGAGGAGGGAAAGGAGCTAACACTTACTCTGTGCCAGGCTCAGTGCTAGCACTCTCACCATGAACCTCTTCACCTGATTCTTATAAGACTCAGCTGATTTTTTAAAAAAAAGGTTGATCCATTTATTTGAGAGAGAAAGAGAGAGAGCAGGGGAGGGCCAGAGGGGGAGGGAGAGAGTGAATCTCAGCAGAGTCCCCACTGAGCGTGGAGCCCGACACAGGGCTCCATCCTACGACCCTGAGGTCACGGCCTGAGATCACAACCTGAGCAGAAACCAAGAGTCGGTCGCTTACTGACCGTGTCACCCAGGAGCCCCTGAACTCAGTTGATTTTTTCCTGGAAATTTACTTTATGGGTGAAAAGGCTGGGGGCTCAGAAAAGCAAAGATGTGCCCAAGGGCACCCAGCTGGTCAATGGCAAAGTTCTTCTCCGTTTCCCGTGCTCTTACGGTACCGGTGTTTCTCCATCACAAGATGATTTGAGGGAATATAGGGATAATCACTTAACAACTTTCTTTTTTTTTTTAATTTTATCTATTTATCCATGAGAGACACCCAGAGAGAGAGGCAGAGACACAGGCAGAGGGAGAAGCAGGCTCCATGCGGGGAGCCCGACGTGGGCCTCGATCCCAAGACCCCGGGGTTATGTCCTGAGCCGAGGGTAGACGCTCCACCCCTGAGCCCCCAGGCACCCCCAGTCACTGCCTGTGTGTGTGTGTGTCTGTAATTTGTATCCCCAATCCCTGCCTCTATGTTTAGGCCAAGGCACACATCTCTACTTAGTCAATCTATAGGGCGCCTGAGGGGTGCAGTCGGTTAGG